CAGGAAAGGCACGTTTGATGCCAAGTGCTGTTCCTATGACCCTTATGCCGGAAAGTCCCTCCAACAACACTGCAACTCATAAATTAAAAACATAAAACAACATACAAATTAACAAATTTTAACTAAAGAAAAATAAATAAATAGCAACAAAACTTCAAATTTACTCAAAAACGTCAACCAGCGAAATGTAATTTTTTATTTTTCCTTACACACGCTCATTTTTATTTTTACTCTCCCGAAAACTTTGACTTTTGTAGGTTTGATGTCAATTTGGCTTCTACCTGTTTTTATTGTACCATGAATTGAAAAGATGAAATGAAATGAGTGATTAAAAATTCAATGCAGCAAAAGTCTCAATAATGAGGATATTTCATACAGGGTATGTGCCCCTGAGAATTAATAAACAGCATAAGAAAAATATAAAAACTTAAAATTAATGTGCCTTACTCGCACCGGCTTCGCTGCATCGCTGGTGTTGTTGTACTGCCCTCTGGTAACATGATGCCATTTAAAGTCTCTTCTCCCACGCCGCTGTCTTCCGTTGTTGCCAAGTCAGTTAAATAGCACTATACTTTAGTTGGTGTTTGCGATGTTCGTTGCGTTGTTGCCGTGATGTCCGTTAGGCACGTATATATATAGATATAAGTCGTGGCGTGGTTTGCTGTAGCTGTACTCTAGCTTGCCGTTATATGTAAATTGTGGCGTGGTTCTCGATGTACAAAATGTTGTTTTTATTGTACAATTTTCCGTTGTAATGTTGTACTTATGTACGCGATGGCGTTGGTTGCCGTTATTGATGCGTATGTATGTATATGTACAGTTGGTGGTGGTGGCGTGATTTTATATGAACTTAAGTACCGCTACATATTATATGTACATACATACCGCTACATACATATACGCGTTTTGCCGCCTAGACGATGGCGTGGCTGTACAAAAATTATGGCTGCTCCCCTGGAACCACGACCACGAACCGAGGGACTAAGATTTTACGGCGTCCCGTGCAAACCACGACCACTTACCACAATTATTGGTGTTTTAGGCAGTTTTCATCTTTTCCCGGACACCACGGCTCCTTGGCACGGTCGCCATTTAAACGCGCCTGCTACGAAGGCGCTTGGTACGTGGGTCGAAGCACCCAAACTCAAAAATAAATACACTCACCCACGTACCCTTTGTGCGTGCTGCTGTACGCGCAAATAAGTCGACAATCTGCTCCTGTGGTGTTGTTGCTAGGGCCTTCGACTCACCCACGTACTGCGTCTGCTTGGCAGGCTGCCAAAGATACACGGCCGCTCTTATAGTTTTTTAAGTTTAAATAAAAACACACGCGCACACTACGTTCGCTTATAAAATATTTTTACTTTTATTTAATTTTAATTTTCCTTTATAATTTGTTGCGGACAACCGGTTGATTTTAATGACGAGTGACGAATGAATGGCTTTCTTGAAGCCAGCCATATAAGATGTTACCACATCGCGTGTAGTGCCATTACAGCCTCATAAGTTATTTACGAAAATAATTACTTAATTTTATTTTACAAATACGATACTTTGCCAATTAAATAACTTTTAATAAATAAAATAAGTAATAACAATTAAGTAAATACAATAGCTTTTATTTAAATATCTAATATTTACCAAAACTTAAATTGATCTGAACGAACGAATGAAAGAGGGAGGAATATCCCCTAAGCATTTCTTAAATTCGTTCCTTCAAAACAATTTAATTCTGATTATAAATTTTGGGCAAGAAGAATATGGCAAAATTGATCACTTTGCCAAATTCTTCTTTTTCCAAAGGAGGGTGATGTAATGCGATAAAAGCATACAATTTGCAACCCTATAAATCACCTTGTATGAACACACCTTAAAGCTAATCTAATACAATAATTTACGATATTAAAAATGCAACACTGTTCTATGTATGACAGCTGCTAGGCTTATGTCAAAAGTGAAAAAATAAATTGGCGGCATTCGCCCGCGTACCTTCAACTCGAACACAAGTACTTTTTCTTTAAATTAAATTCGACCTGCTAGCCACCAAGGCATCGGGTGCAGTCAGCAGCTTCGGGCAACAAACGTTTGCCTGCACCAACGCAGCACCAAGCAGGCGTTGGCCGGCATCAGAGCCGGCGGAGCACCAGGGCTCCGCGAGAAGCAGCCAGCAGCACTGCCCTTGACAAGTCGGGCGTTGGCCGACAGCAGCGCCGGCGGAGCACCAGGGCTCCACGTGTCAAAGGTACGCCCGTTAACGAACGAAGTGGAATTTATCCGCTTTGACAGTAGAATGCGCAACACGCATTTATAATTTGAACCACTTTTTGTGGGTTATAATGCAGCGTTCTGATTAAGCAGCGGAAGCGGCTTTTTAACACTCCAATTGTTCTCTCCACAATATTTCTCGCTGAGGAGTGTACCATATTAAATTTATATTCGCGGGAGTTATATTGTGGATCTCTGTATGGTGTTAAAAGGAATGGTTCAATGGGATAGCCGCCGTCTCCTAACAGCCTGTGGTTTTTTTCGCCGGCCTCATATTGGCTTAGATAAAATAGTCGAGCGCTGCTTATATTTCAGATAAAAGAGTCGTGGCTTGAACCAGGATATCTTGCACCAACCGCTCGAATTAACATATCGTTATCACAAATTTAAAAAAAAAATATATATATATAAAAAGTTAATAGAAGTACCTACACATTTCACTTTTTTAAATTACAATCATCGTATTCATGCTGAAATACCCTTTCCGATTAAAACATATATACTCATCAACCGAGGGCTTTAAAATTTTTACGGGGACACACGCATCCAGTAATGTCTGGAATGCGGTATTTTGTGTAGAAATATTCCCTTGCCCTTCATTTTTCGCTGTCGTTCATTTCAAGTTTAACCCAGCATATACAATTTGACTGTTCTAGGGCTTTCAGCAATTCCCTTATCACCACCGACACCGTGCTCCTCGCTAAGCACACGCTCAAATCGTTACCCACAGATCTTTGATAATACCATGTTCTGACCGACATCGAAAAGATGTTTTCGTTCGTAAAACTGGTTTTCGACCTAAAACTTGTGTTTTCGTCCATGTAAAATCTGTCAAACGAAAACTAGTTTTCGCTGAAAACCACTTGAAAACTCACGTTCCACTCATCCATTCCATCGGTATCTGCACTAGTTTTTTTCGATTACTTATCGAAGTGGAAGTCATATTTTATCATCTTTAATACGTCATTTCGGATTTATTGTTAATTGGCCGGCCAAAATAAAGTAAGCATGGAAGTAAAAGGTTGTTAATGAAAAGAAATTGTAGGAAAAGTATTTTGGTTTTGTTTTTGTGTAGCAAAACTGTAAACAAAGGATGAAAGAAATGTCAACGAAAACACCAACAGTCGGTATGAACAGCCTTCAGCCCACAATCCCAAAACTCGTTTTCAAGGTGTTTTCGTTGTCGGTCAGAACATGGTATAAGATCCCTCAGCGAAAAATCTTAAAGCCGCTGCAAGTTGTAGCACCGGAAAAATGGATAACCAATCTAACTTGTATTTTATTACGTCTAACACCGTTCCAAAAGCTTCCTTATTAAGGCGATATTGGTCAATAAACCTGCAAAATCGTAGACGTTTCTTAACGAAGCAGCAAATGTGAGATCTACGGCGAATGCACTTACGTTGCCTCTGGCAGTTCCAGCGGATTGCTCTTGTTTCGCAAAATTTTTCGCTGTATTTTTTGAGTGGATTCTCTAGTGTCATTCATTAAAAGCAAAAATACCATGGCAGAAGTCATATTTGTTCACTTTTCAATTTAATTTCTTACTTTACAACAAACAAAACAGCTGATTCGAATATCGCTTGTGCCTATCTTCGAAAAAAGTAAAGTCAAGTCATTTTCATAACACCATTTCAAACCGATATCGGTTTCAAATTTCGACAATTTTCAATTCCGATACCTTTTTTGTAACATCTCCGTTACAGTTAATAGTTAGCACTAGTGTGCGTGTAAACAGATTAAAGCTACGTATAAGCTAACGTCACTCCCTGCAGGGTTTATTCGTTATATGGAAGCAAATAGGAGAAAGAAAGTTCTAAAAAATCAACGGTAATTTTTAGTCATTCAAACTTTCACATTATCAGACTAAAATTGAATGGGCTATAGAACGGTGACAGGTAATAAGATCAACGGAAATAAGGTCAATTGACTTTATTTCCCACCCTGGTGCGAAATAAAGTCAATTGACATTATTACCTTTTTAAAAACGAAATAAAATCAATTGACATTATTTCTCTTTCAAACATTAAATTTGCTTAGCTTCGCGGCGGGCCGCGTCAGCGCGCTACACCGCGCGCGTCGCGCTCGCGCCCCGCGCACACCGCGTCACGCTACGCCGCGTCCGCACCAGGGTGGGAAATAAAGTCAATTGACCTTATTTCCATTGACCTTATTACCTGTCACCTATAGAACTGCGTACTCAAAAATATTCTAACACTTCTGAGAAAAAAGTTTGAAATTTGAGTGAAAGGTTGTTGCATTTCTTTTAGTCTTTTACAAAACTTAAAACTTGGGTTTATATGGGCTTTGTTAGAGAATGAACTGTGTTTTAATTGAAAATTCTTAAAAATGAATAGTTAATTATAAGTGGCAAACCATACCACTTTAAAATGGGGGTACTATATATATGGCCTATACTGTATATTATGTATGTATATAAAAAACATATATAATTTATGTCATATGTTATACGAAGTAAAAAAAATTTCAGATGGTAAACAAACATGGTATTACCATATGTATAATAGCATATTTACAATAAAAAAGTGGGGAAAATTTTACAATTAAACATTTTTGGAAACGAACCTTTAAAAAAAGTGGTTCGGTTTTCGGTTCGGACCAAACATTTATGGAAAATGGTTCAGTTAATTAGCAGAGAAAACGGTTAATCCGGTTCAAACCCGGTTCACGTCCCTGGTGTTGAGGCAATTTCAAATTCATCTCTAAAGACTTACTCAGAAGACTAGGAACAAAGCAAACTGCATTACAAAGCATTAGTGCTTGAATAGAATTCAACTGAGGCATCACGAAGAACACTAATATTGCCATTCCGATGGTATGCAACATTTCAAAAGACAGTACCTGTAAACCAAACCTTGCTATACATATGTGTTTAATGAAGTTTATTTTTAATTGAGAATCGCTTACCAATATAAATTCCATCCAAGTAGGTGACTTCACATCCTTGAAGGTGCAGATACGTAAGGCACGGAAAAATGTAAAAACCTCGGGTGCCGCGAATGCAAATATCAAAGCCCAGGTCCATGTGTATTGCTCCTCCTTCGGTAAAACTGCTGTAAAGAATTCTTCCACACCTTAAGGAAGCAATATACATAAATACGCATTAGGTTGTGTCACACATTACTTTATGTTGTGGTTTTAAGCTCTTCATATCTATCGCTCTTTTTAAGCGGCTCCAAAAAGGGAGGAGGTTAAATATTTGTCTTGTGTAAGTTTTTTATATTTATTTGGTAACGGATTTAAATGGTTCTTTTTGCGTTGGGTTAAAGACACTTCACACTGGTACCATTTAAATTTTACCAAAACCGGTAGAGTTAAAACAATGATAATTATAAATGATTATCATAATGATGAAGATAATTATAATTATCATTAATGATAATAATGGTAATTTTTGTGCTGAAGATAATTACAATGCCAACGATGACATGAGTTAACTAAAAATAGTAAAATAGACTTATTTCAAAAATAAAAAATAACTTTAAAAAATAGGACAAACGAGTAGTACAAAATTAAAAATTATATTTTTAAACTTAAGTAGCCACTGAAGAACTAAAAAATAATTAAATGCTTATATACATATATACAGCAACAATTATTTGTATTAGGGTGCCAATTAAAAATGTTTTTTTTTGGAAATTTCAAGACCTACCCCCTAATTTTATTAGTTTTTTTGAGAAATATTATTGCCTATTTTTATAGATTTTTTAAAGGTCATTTAGAGGTCGCGTCCTGTCGATTTGGGTCAGAAAGTACGTTTTTATAGATTTATGAGTTTTTGAATGACTGTTTTTCGATTTCAAAGATCAAATATGGTCTGAGAACACGATATATAGGCCTTTAAAATAGCATATAATAATCTACTGTCGGACTCGGCTTGTTGGGATTTTTTATCGGGTAAAATAAAAAAAGCCCATATTTCTCTTAATTTTTAAAATTTTGAACAGCGATAATTTCCACAATTTCAAAATATGTAGTACTATCTAAAATTAGATCTATTTTTAAATAAACTGATAGCTCAGTTATTGCAATCGCATACAAATTTTCGAAGTTAGGTGACTTTTCTTAAATATGGCCTTGAGTTTATATTGTTTATGTACCGGACTTTCAGATTTTTCGAGCAGTGTGGCTAAGGAGTTCATAAATATTTATTCAAAATTATAAATATACAATGGCTCTTTGGCAAAGAAGTGTCTTTTCAGGAAACTTTAGGAAATGGGGGCGGCACCGCCCACTTATATCATACATGTGTATCTTAAAAACTACTTGACCGATCTCAACCAAATTTGGTATACACATTGCGCTTGGGCTTCTTAAGCGCAATATTGAAAATTTTTGAATCGGACAAATACCACGGGCTCCACCAACGTAACGGTAATTCCAAAAAACTCAAAGCTAGCTATATTTTAGGGGGAGTAGATTTTGTCCGATTTCAAAAATATTCAAGACGGTACTTAAGGAGCCTAAGCACAATGTCGAGATCAATCAAGTAGTTTCTGAGATATGCACATATCATATAAGTGGGCGGTGCCACCCCCATTTTCCTAAAATTTCTTGAAAACCACTTCTTTGTCTTGGTCTGTACCGTCAAGTTGTTTCAAGCTTCTTTCATTGATTTTGACATTTTCGTTGTTTCCCATTTAAAGAAGCAAAAAGTTGCATTCAACAAAATTGAAACAGGTAAAAGCAAATAGAAAACACAAGAGAGTGAGCGAGAGTGGATTTCAAGTACATACTTGAATCAAGTAAATCGGGTGTTACTTCGAAAATAATTTATGATGACGAACATGGCAAACGTTTAAAGGACTACGATTTGAGGGCATGCACCTGGAATGTCCGGACCTTTAATGGGGAAGGTGCCTCTGCCCAGCTGGTTGATGTCCTCGTAATGACAGAAGCTGAAATCACCGCTATCCATGAGAAGCGTTGGACGGGGCAAGGCAAGCAATGCATGGGGCCTTGCGACGTCTACTACAGCTGCCATGTAAAGGAGCGCAAATTCGGTGTTGAATTTGTGGTGGGAAAGAGACTCCGTCACCGAGTACTGTTGTTGTTGTTGTTGTAACAGCATACAAATTCCCCAAAGAGATTTTGGGGAGTGTTGCTGGAGTGGTGGCAGTCCTTGGCCAGATATATATCTATCTGGGTCGTTCCGGTTACGTAGACCCGACTGTCGTGGGAACATATCATTAAATCGTTAATAGTACCCGTTAGAGATGAGTTGAGGACTAATTGATCTCCAATTATACCCATAAGGGATGAGTCGAGACTA